TCTAATGGTGATAAAAAAATCAGAACTATTTCTTCAAGATCTTATTTTACATATTAATTTTGTATTGTTAAATTGTTTCATTTCAATTAATGATTGAAAACTTAAAAAAAAATTTAAAATTAATAATTTGTAAATTAAAACATTTTGTGTTTTTGCATGCACAACGATTACCCGTCATTTGATAATTTTGCTGAGCAGTAACCAACAGGCAGGTACCCAGTTGCCCAGGTACCTGCCCGTTTTCAAGGATATATTGATCTTTTCTCAACCAGAAAAAAACAAAATATATTGTATTCAGTCAAATATTGTATGGTACAAGTTAAAAAATAGTTTATATTGTATATATTTAAATATACTAGGTTATCAAACACTTCTATTTAATCTCTTTCTTGATAGTTCAGTGAAATTTCAAGCTCTTTAATTGCCAGTTCTTTTTCTAAAATAATGTTTCTAAAAGAATTTGCTTTTGTAAGGATACTGAAGTTTTGCTTTTCTTCTGCTTCAATGCTAAACTTGTCAGCATCAGTTTTCTTCATCAATCAATTTAAGTTTGATTGATGAGGAACTACCTTTAACTGACACTTGATTTTCCTTTGAGACAGAATTGTACCTATTTTATGTTAACCTTCATCTTTTTAAAAGATCACTGGGAAGTTCATAATAATGAATAACAATGTCATGGGAATTGATGTGGTTACAAACTGTTCTTTAGGAAATGAGAGATCTTTCTTGTAGATTTTCTACTAACAACTGCTTATTAACACTAAATGAGAAAACAAAAATGATAACACAGACTTTCCACAATGCTGAATACTTTTGATTTTTGTCAAATAGAAACCAAGAAATTTATTAACAGAATCAGCTAATTCATTTAAAGGACTCAAATTTATTTATTATCATTTCGAAGACTCTAAATTGAACATATTTTGAACCAAAAAATTGTTGTTTTGCATCATCTGCGTCGTCAGTTAAAAGTCATTATAATGCACTTAATCTTTCAGACCCTTAAATTTCAGAGTGGATACTTTCTTGTTTTAAACCATTGAATTTGGAGACAAAGATGAAGCATTCCTCTTAAAGAATACTTCAATGGACATCTTTCTTGTAAATTTTGCAATAACATTATGATAATCTGCCTACATTCTTTCTTTAATTCTAATTTCTCTTCTAGTTAACAATGAAGAGCAGCTAGTATTTTAGTGTTATTCCTATGTCAATATGATCTACTTCTACTTGGTTATATGATTTCTCTACTTCATTCTTTGGTAAACTAAATGCAAACTTTGATGCTATCGTGCTGTCAGAGAATATTCAGAGAACTTGAATATTTTATTTAAATTTAAGCATGATCTTAAAGAAAAATGTGACATTACTACATTAAAGCCCCATATTATTTCTGCTAGGTAACCAGATTTATAGTTTTTTTTTTCTAAATCAGGAGAGCTTTTATGTAAGTTACTAATAGAACACTACAAGCAAAATTCAGGAAAACATATATTTAAATAAAACTTAAATTAAAATTAAAAACTAGTAAACTATCAGTTAACAATATATCTGCTGCATTGTGTTTCTTTGCATCAAATTTATACTTTTTAAAAGTTGGATGAGAATCCAAGGCAGATACTCCCATGTTAGAAATATTAATATCCATTCTTCAAAAACAATAGCTTGCTAGCAAAACAATAGCTAAACAATAGCAATAGCTTGTTTTTTTAGAATTTGAAATACAAAATTTTACCCAAGAAGAATACTTTTTGTTGTAATCTTTTTTTTTTTGTTTTGTTTGAAAATGACAGTTCTTTGTATTAAGCATTATACTAGTTATATATATATACTTTTTTAATAATTACTAGATGTTAATAATACTGACAGTAACAGTTAAAGGGATCCCAAACTCTTAACACATATTGTGTTCATATTAAAGATAATGTTAAAAAAAAAAGGTTTGAACCAAATTTTTTTGATTAAAAATAAATAATGAATGCATACCGTGGAAAACAAATGTTGTTATTTTTGCCGAAGCTCGTCTTCTCCATTTTTTTCAACTACTCGGTTCTTCAAATTATGTGTTGCAATCTACAGACTTTGGCAATTCCTTTGAAGCGCGTTTAATTCATAAAAGTTTTAGTATTTGACGTCACGGTAGACTTTTAACAAAAGAAACTCTAGAAATATTTTTATTTATTTTTAGTCGAAGTTTTTTGGATTATTTGTTACTTATTTTAGTTTTTTTTTCTTCTATTTTTAATATGTAAAAAAATAATAAAAACATTAAATATTTTATGCTGGTTCGTTGCTATAAATTGTTATTGCGCCATATATTTAATGTTTATAAATTATGAATATTTATTATCTCAAAAATTGTTTTACATGAATTACCCGTATAAAATTAATAACAGCTTTTTTATTTGGTTAGACGATATTTTGTTTTAATTTGCTTTGCATGAAGTTCGAAAAGTCAAACGAAAAAAATTAGTTTGAATAATCACATCGAAATATATTTAAAACAAATTATTTTAATGACGAGGGTTCTAAAGTTTTTTATAACAAATGTAGGTAAAAAAATAAATAACTAAATAAAAAGTTCAGTATTAAACACCATTTCTTTATTCTAATGCAACTGTAAATATTAAATTATTAACTTGAACTAAATTTACTTATTATTTAGAACGACTAAGCAATAAAAAAAAAATGCCCCTAAAATTATGCGAGATTGTGTTGTTGGTAATGTTGTTTATGCTGATTATTTTCAAAAATATCAAAATAGCTCCAGATTAATCTGTTCCTTGCTTTGCTCATTGTTGATTTATTTCTAATTTAATTTTATCTCAAACTATAATTATATGTTAAAAAAGAAAAGTTTTTATTTCATCGGGCACTCTTTTTATAAAAGAGTAGAACAAAAGAGAAAGAAAAGTTTCGCGCAGATAAACTTTGTATGAATAAGAGTTGTATAGAATACATATTTTTTTTGCTTTACTCGTTCTTTTTTTAGATGAGAGAAATAAAAGTTTAATATTAAATTTTCTTTGAATAAATGAGAATTGGAAGAAAAAATTGCTTGAAAATTTGTATTTGTTTATTGTGTTTTTAAAAATATTTAATTTTTCATGTTAAGAGACAAATGCCAATTACAACACAAATTTGGAAATACCAAATATAATGTTTTTTAATGCGCGTTATGACATTTTAACAATTTAAATTACCATCTATCTTGAATTATTGCCTTTAATTAATGTGTTAATTATTGCGTTATTTAATAATATTTTTGTTAAATATTAGTTGTATAAAACTGGCAAAAATATACAAACTTCATGTTTTTTATTTGATGGTTATAAAATATTGAACAGTAAACTTATAATCAAAATTTATAGTGCCGACTTGTGTTGCAATTAATTGTACTTTTAATGCAAAATCAGGATCTCACAAATCCTTTCACGAATTTTCATATCTGATACTACTGTCAACTGTATTGTTTAGTGTATTCTTGTACTTTTTTTTCATAATCTTAACAGGTTCTAATTGGTATGGAGTTGCTGATATTTTAAAAATTTCATTATCAAAAATCAAATGTAATTCGTCAATTCGTTCCGAGTAGTTGAAAAAAATGGAGAAGACAAGCTTCGGCAAAAACAACAACATTTGTTTTTCACGGTATGCATTCATTATTCATTTTTAATCAAAAAAATTTGGTTCTAACCTTTTTTTTAACATTATCTTTTTTTTAACATTATTTTTTTTCAGAAAATACATAATTAATAAATTCAGTAGAAATCTACGCAATAGTTCTGTAAAAATATGATAATGAAATATAGAAGTATTTCAGAAAAAAGTTCAAGAATTTCCACGATTTATTGCTAAAAGGGGTGTTTTTCCAGGATCTACCAAATTCCAGGACATTTCCAGGTTTTTAAGACCCACTGGCCACCCTGCAAGTGGTGTTTGAGGTACAGTTAAATTAAAATTGTTATAAACCTGTTTAAATTAACTATTTTAAGTATTTAATTTTATTTTCTTATAGAATTTTTTCTTGCAGTTCCTAACTTACTGTGAGCTAGAAAGTACATTTAATCTTATTTCAATTGCAACATTTTATTGAACAAAGTAAACTTTCTCTAAGGCGATACAATTAAATACAAAGTAGTTATTTATAGATTGAAACAAAAAAGATATATTTTTATATTTATAAATTACAAAGTTTAGAAATGTTATTTTGAAAATTACTAGAAATTGTTAGCTTACACTCTAAACAAATACATTAAATTCATTCTAAACTTTATAACATATCAAGAATAGACAAAGAATATCTTTTTGTCTACGTTTTTTTAAAGGTAGTAGACAGCTTTTTTATTTCCCCTAAAAATTTAAAAAAAAAATGTTATTTAAAAAACACTTTATTAAAAAATTTTTACTTTTCAACTTTTTTTGCCTCTAAATGCAGCATTCTGAAGAGTCACTGTTAACAGTTCTATTAAAATATTTGGGGAAACTCTGATCAAAACCTAAAACATATTTTTCTGATGTGTATATAAGTTTCTATTGAAATATTTCTATACATCCATACTAAACAATCCATTAAATAAATAATTTAAGTAAATAACTTGAAGAAATTACAATATTATAATACTAATATAATTTTCATTTTAATGTTATTCACCTCCCAAAGTCATGAGAGCCACTACACTACTTTATTGTGGTTACAACCCTTTCTTAACTCTTTAACTCCAAACCTTGGCAAACAAGGTCGCTGCGCAGAGAAACAAGTTGAGCACGGTGACATTAAGTAATATGAACTCTGAATCAGAGCGCTGTTACATTAAAATTGCAACAATAGTACAGAGAGTTGGGATTAATCAGAGTGATTCAAGTTATTTAAAAATAAATAAACTTTAATTAATACTTTCAAAATAATGAAAAAATGTGAAACTTTGAAAATAAAAAAACTAAATATATATAAAAGAAAAATATTCAAACAAAAATTATAAAAAAATAAATATTACTTCTTAGGAAGAACAAAAATAGAAGCAAGCAATGCCAAGGTCATCCCAAGTACAATAATAAAGTTTGGAATAAATATTTTAAATGTATCAAAAAAGGAATCTAAAAATATTGTAAAATAATTATTGTATTCATCTATTTTTTAAACTAGTTTAAAAAGTTAATTGTATATTAAATATTTTTAATTATAATTAAATTTCAAATTAAATTAAATTTTAGTTCAGGTGTCAAGCTTAAAAAATAAACATGTGAAAAATATCATAATAACCAAAAAAATAGTGAAAATAAAAAATTTGTTAAAATAAAATATAATACCTTTTTTAAAAACTTTAGGATATGTCTCAACAGGGAAAACTAAAAATCCTGAAAAAATGTATACAATTGCTATTAAATATTTTTTAATTGAAATCAAATAATTTAGGAAAATAATTCAGAAAACTATTTAAAATTTATTATCATATTTTCTTTTGTATAAAATATATTTTGAATTTTTTTTTTTTAATTCACAAGCACTACTACTTTTTGATGATTCTTTTCAAAAACTTTAGTTTTTGTTAGTATTTAACACTACCATAACATCGGAGTTAGCTGATAGCAAAAAAAAAAATTAAGTTCCATGTCTATTTTTTTTGGTTCTACTAGTCTTTTGAGACTTCTTTTGGAATTTTTCGTTGAACTTAACCAGAATAAAAGAGTGAATAGCAGTTTTTGTTTTACTGGCAGTTTTGATATCAACAGGAATGGCAAAACTCGATCATGCCATATCCAAGTTTTGTCCACTTCCTAATGTTCAAAAGGTAAACCAATAAGCTATGCAATTTTATAGCTTTAGATTTTACAATAGCATCTTAGTTGAAGTGTTGTTTTAAAATAATATATGATACAATTTTTTGATTTTTTTTAACTTTTACATTATGTAATAAAATGTGATAAAAATAAAAATAGTATATTTTGAACGGTGTAGTGAATGCAGGGTGTTGTCAACAAAAATACTTCCCAATTAAACTACATAGTATTTTGGGGAAGTGAATTAACATTTTAAAAAAAATATGTAGTATATGCTATATTGCATGTATACTGTAAATAAATTTAAAAAATTTTAATGTAAATAAATTTTAACAAATATCAAGTTGCAATACATCATGATATTTTAATTTAACAATTATGCAGATTAAAAAATAATTTAAAGTGATTTAATAAAATAAAAATGGTTTCAATCAGTTGGTTAAGCAATAATAGTTATTATTATTAATATTACTTGCAGTTACAACAGTTTTTATTATTAATTACTTGCAACAGCAACAGTAATATTCTTAATATTACTTGCAACAGCAACAGCAACATTATTAATATTACTTGCAGTTGCAACAGTTATTATTATTAATATTACTTGCAACAGCAACAGTAACATTATTAATATTACTTGCAACAGCAACAGTTACTACAGTTACAAACAGTTTATTACTTAAATGAAAAACCAAAAATACTTTTTAAAAATAATCTTTTTAAAAATTATTAAAACTCATATATTTTATAAATTTATTTAAATCATTTTTCAGGATCATAAAATTACTACTGGTAACATATAATCCAGTAGTACCGGCCCATTTCCTGCTGCCTTGTAGGATTTGCTTTTCTAGGCAAAGACTAGGAGAAACAAGCATTGACTTTAAATTTTCATGCCTTGGAGTTTTTAGTTAAGTAAAGGCTAACAGATGTTAACAGCATCCGTCTACTGTCTTATAGATGAGCTTCTAGGCAAAAAATTTTAGAGGTAAGGAGAACAACTCAGTTAACTACCATAACACCCCTTCTTCATTATTTAGGCTAGCATAGATGTAAATCTGTGTTACATTGTTTCCTGCCTAATAAGATGAATGCTGGGTTTACTTCACTCTATTTATGGATTTTTGCTTGTACCTCCTTGATAGTATTCAACTCTTCTTGGTATTTCCTAATGAGGATGCAGATCTAAACCATAGTTTAATGGTTCTAAGGCTGGTAGTAGGATTTCTTAAACTCTATAGGAGCTTTCAGAGAGATTAATTCTGTCAACAACTGTAAAATATCACAAAATTAACAGTGCTGTGTTGTGCATGGATGGCGTCCCTTTTAGTGCTTTTGGTGTGCGTTGTGGAAACTAATAATAAAAAAATAATACAATGCTTAGGTTGCCATGGTTGCAATGCTCTACGATTGAGTAAAAATCTTAATTATAAATTACAACTAAAGTATATAAAAACATTAAAAATAAAAAACAATCACCAACACTAAACTGTTTCAACTTATCTTTAAAAAATACTCATGGTCTATGAAGTAACTTTCCATCAGTTGAATTTTACCTCTTGCATAATTAATCAGACTTACTCTTGTGAGACTGATTTGAATTCAGCTGCTTCTTTTTGGACCTTAAGTGTTGATGGCTATTAACCTTCACAAAGAATCCATTAATCACATGCTTCAATTTTTTTTGGTTATGCATCTTATGCATCAATTTCTAGATTTTTCGCAAAATTTAGTTTGAATCTTTGACCATTCTTTTATCTGTTTCTGTTTAGCATCCTTTCACTTAATCACTTTTTTCTTTCTGTTCTCTGTTTCTCTTTCTCTTTTTTGTCTTTATCATTTTTCTTCTTCTTGAAACTGAATATTTTTAGATTTAATTTCTAAACAAAATGACAAAGTATGTTCCCTTAACCCCTCATCCAATGTTATAGGTAAGTTTAATGCTCATCAAACTTAATGGCTTAGCTCTTACAATTTTGATCCTGCTGGCACTAAAATTCTGTATTTTTCAATCTCTTACTCAGTTAATTTTGTGAATCATTTTTCAGACAATCCTAATCACTTCACTTCTTGATTTGTGACTTGTCTCAGACCCTAGTTTGTTTTCTGTTTTTCCTTAATCACCTTTACATGGCTCTGACCATGCAATTATCTCTATAAATCTTTTATAGTTCTTTTTTGGATTCACACTATAATCACACTACTACCCTAATTCAAACTATATTTTGCTCCATGGTTTTCACCTTTTGGTGCAGCTGCTTTATCTAATTGTAATCATTTTTTGTATCTTTTTCAAATGAACAACTCTCTTGAAAAAAAACACCTATCTATTATTGCAAGAAAACAGTGTGGTAAAAAGGAGCTGTCTAATACTAAGCTCCATTATTCTTAGTTCACTCAACCTCATATCTTATCTCAAGCCTCATTCTACTCCATAGTTTGAACCTTCTTGTACTATATCTAATCATAATCATTATTTTAAATCTTATCTCAGAAGTTAGGCTCTGGAGACTTTTGGAAAATCATCAACATTGCCATTAACAAAAAAAAGTCCAGCATTCCATCTTCAACTTTTGGGTCTATTCCTCTATTACCTCTACCTGTTATTAGTTATTACCTCTACCAAGGATAAAGCAAAAAAATTCCTAAAGAAATTTTCTTTTAATTCCACTCTTGAATCTAATGGCCATACTCTTCCTGTTTTCCTTGTTAACTTTTTGTTAAACAATTCAAATCTCTCCAGCTTCCATTGCTGAAGTCATTTCTCAATTAAACTCTTCTATGTCTTGTGGTCAAGACAATGTTCCTGTCATAGTCTTATAAAAGTGTTCTCCAGAACTCTACTAACCTCTTACAATTATTTAATAAGTGCTTCACTGAATCTTACTTTTTTGTCTGGTAGAAAATGGTATCTGTGGCTCCATAATTAAAAACTATGGAGAGCATCCCTCTAAATATTGCCTGATCACTCTAATCTCAACTATTAGCAAGGTCCATGAGTCTTTGATCTAACATCCTATCTTAAATCTTTTCTTGGTCTTGTTTATCCACTGTGGCTCTATTTACTGATGACTTAACTTTGAATTCCTGTCTTGACAAAAAGTCTTCTCTTTTCCATTGCTTAAAACAGGGAGCCAATCTTGAATCTGATCTCCTTTCTGTAACAGCATGGGGCTTGAAGTAACTTGTGAATTTTAACTCCAAAAAAGCTCAGTTATTTTCTGTAAGACTATGGCAATATTGTCAACATTCCTATATTGATGAATGGCAGCCTTCTCACTGAGTCCATTTTTTTTACATCATCTCAGATTAGTGTTGACTATTAACCTCTCAGGGAAACCATACATATAATCGATTGAAAAGTTAGCATCTGCTAAGGTTGCTTTTCTTTATAGCACTTGCCATTATCTTACTCCTGATTCCATTCTCTACCTACCTACCTACAAATCTCTTATTAGTCCCTGAATGGAATACTGTTTCAGTATTTGAACTGGTCCTTCTAATGATACTCTTTTTCTTCTAGACAAGTTATGCAAACACATTGTAAGCATAGTTAGACCTGCTTTATGTTCCAAGCTTGAGCCACTATAAGGTATGCAACTAGAACAAGTAAGCCTAGTCACTGGTGGAACATATTTTGCTATAAACGCCTGAAAGAAAAGATTGATTATATTATAAACTATTGTTAATTTCTATTTGGTTTATATGGATTAATGCGATTCTTCATTTTATTAGAACGAACTTTTGTATAGTTTAGTAAAATATTCATTTTAATTTAGTTTAATTTATACGGTTAATATTAAAATAATTCAATTTATATTTAGTTTCAACTTTTTTTTTCATTTTTTAGTTTCAACTTTAATTTTCATGATTTACTCAATTCACTAATTTTATATTTAGTTATACATAGTTAATATATATGTTTTAGTATAGTTGTACTTTTAGTATTTGGTTTATATTTAGTTTAAATGCTTACTGCAATTATTTGCTATATACTAAATTTATATTTTATTTAAGTAACACGGTATAGTGATGTTATTCATTTTATTTTAAGTTTATATTTAATTTAATTTTATACGGTTTACTGAGATTATTCTTTCTAGCTTTGATAATATTTAAAGTGTATAAAATGTCGTGCAGTTGATTGTTTTATATTTAGTTTATGTATAACTTTAATTTACATGGTTTATTGGAAATATTTGTTTTACATGTAATTTACTTTATATGGTTTAGTAAAAATATTTCTTATTTATGTTTAATTTTTATTTAGTTTTACTTAATTTATATAGTACAGTTCTTTTATTTAATTTGTAATTAGTTTATGTTTGTTTTGAATGCTTCATCACATAGTAAATTTGATACATTATAAGGGCAGGTATTACACTTTCAACTAAAACTTCTCAATACAAGAACAGAACAATACAAAAAGAACAGAACTTATTTATGTGTTTAAGTACTAACCTAGATTAAATGGATGAACTAAAAAAAATTCTACTAACCTAGATTAATAAAAAGATAAATTAGGCAAAAAAATTAAAAGTTTGATTAAGGCAGGAATAACTATTTTACAAATATTT